ACTTTTATTTTTAATTTGGTGTTTCCGATTAAAGCAGATGTGCAATGGAAAGGAGATAGGAAACTCTGCTAGGGCACTGGGGATAGTTAGAGAGAAGTTATTTGACAGAAACAGCTGAATTTCTAGATCATACTGGAAAAGATTTCTGGCAATAGGTAATTAAGACCAAAACTAGAAAGTCAGAATAATGTACAGATGAGTTTGTGGGAGCTGGAGACCATTCCCTTGCTGCTGACACTCAGGAGTGGTGTCATCCTTGTTACAACAGCAGTCAGATGAAGTCAAGCCCTGCCATCTATCATGCACCAACACACCAGCTTTTTGGGTCAGATAAATGAGTCCTATGGTCTCATCAGCAATCTGTCTTCTTTTTGATATGACCTTGCTCAGCAACCTCATGCCCTCACCTATCTATATGCTTGTCTGAGATGAACTGCCCCCTGCATCCTGCCTGAGTAATCACAGAAAACCCTGAACCTCAGCTGATCACTAGACTACAGCATCTTCAGACATCAGACTGTCTGAATTCACTGAAAAAAATGCACAGATCCCAGGTGAAGAAGAGAAATATAAGGGAGTGTGTTCCACAGATGTTAAACAAGGGGTGCTCAATCATTCGTTCCCTCTGTAACAAGGTTAAAAAGCTAACTGAGGGCATTAATTTGTAAACAAGCAGTCATAGGATGTTCTCTTCTAGTCACTATTGAACCGTTCCATGATTCAGTAAGGAGAAATCTATCTTTAAAAGTTTTCTACTGGAAACATACCCAGTGTAGCATATAAACTAATCTGCAAGTGTAGTGTATCCGTCTTCCTAGAGTGGGATAGACATAAACTTTCTTTATGCTACTCTTCCACTGTGGTTGTCCACCCTGTCCTTCTGTTTTCATGACTACAGCAGACTGTGCCTGTACACTAGTTCTTCACCATTACTGTCTCACAACAAAGAAAGCTGCAACAGACGAAGGGCAAGTTTGATCACAGAGTCTTCAGCCTCTTGAGACTTACTTGTTCATGCCCTAAGGAAAAATAGCAATAACTTTGGGAATTACTATAACATCTACAACCTTGCAATTCAGACCAATTTCAGGACAGCTGAGGCACGTGGAAGGAAAATCAGGCATGAACTCTCTCAGCTATGGCAGCAGGTTACTAAGCATACCTCTTCTTGATGCATGATTCTATGATTCTTCCACTCCTTATTCTCACAGTCCGAAACTGCTTAATTCCCTCAGATGTCACTGATAGCAGTGTGAAGAGAATATATGGTCCCATGCTCAAGCCTTTCATAAAGATGCCCAAGGTAGAACTAAAGGAAGGAAGAAAGTGGAAGGTATCTTAGGAAGGAGGCATCTTTGTCCACACACAGTGCCAGCCATCCTATTCTGTTCAAATACAGTTGTTACTGGTTCTTGGATGTATTTATTTTCTTTAGGTTTCACGTAGTATGTCTGTCTATAAGAAGTGTGTTTTGGGTGAGGCAGATTAAGCAGCTTCCCTAAAAACAGGTTCCTTTCTAAAGACCGTGATGGATGGGTGTGTTAGACTGTTGAGGGTTTGAGAAGAGGAATGCCATCCCATGGTAGGAAATGTCTTGGTGTGCCACCTATGCTAAGAAGGGAGAATCACTAAAGACCTGTAAAGTGCCTCCAGTGCTAAATCAGGACTATAAAAGGAAGGCAAATAAATTACTTAGTCAAGCAGGATTACTTAGAAAGGCAGGCACATAAATCTGTGGGATTCCCAAATGTGCTCTGAACACTTATTCTAGAGAGAATGAACCAAGCTGTCTGTGCCTAGCTCAGCTCTTTTTTCAAGAGTTGCATGATTAAAATCTCCCCTTATGGCCAAAATCTGTGCATTAGACTATCCTGTTAATTGCTAAGAAAAAGTGTTATCCACTTGATCTTCCTGGATGTGCTACAGATCCTCCAACAATGTCTATATTCTTTCCCTTTGTATTATCACTCAGACTTTCAGTACATGTTCTCCCACATTTTGAATACCTATCTGAGTGAGATGCATAGCATAATCTCCTTCACCTTTTTCCCTCCTGTTGTTCCTGAACAAGTTGTGCTCTTTGATATTAGTATTCTGGTCACATATTCACATGACTGTACCCTATCAAGTTTCTGTTATGTCAATTAAGTTGTAATTTTAATCTTGCATTAAGGTTTCCAGCTCCTTCTATTCATATCAATGCATTTTACATTTATATAAAGACATCTAGGCTGAGCATAAGTTGGTTCACTTTATTTTTCTTCTTCTTCTTCCTAGGACCTTTGATAAAAAATCATAGACTTTCCATTTTTTTGCCTAGGCCTCCGTGTGCCAGGTTTGTTTGACAGACATGTCACCTGCCTGTCCAGATAATTTAGTGCTTATCTGATTGGATTACTAAAACTGTGCTAAAGCATTTCTCTCTTTCTTTGTGAGATTGAGCCCATGTCTTCTCAACAGTCCTTCCCATCCTATCATGGAAGCATGCAGTTATGCTGATGAAACCAAATTCTTTGTAACACTGTACACAGACATGCATTCTGTTTTTCTGTTTTCCATCACTGCATACATGTACTCATTTGAGATTGTCTTTCTCTAAGTAGACTGCAATCTTAAGTGCAGCCAGGCTACCTTTTCACCCAAGAAGCATCTACGTCACAAAAAACACAGTGGCCACTTTTTGTCAGAGGGCCATGTGATTCCCAGAGGCTGTTATCCTTTAACTTCCATAGGAGAGAGACAGTATCTGTCTAAGACTTTGTGTAGACCTTGAACATACCAGGACCCTGACTCAAAAAAACACAGTGTAATATTAATAATAAGATTGATACTAAAATGCAGAAGATGGGGAAAAAAAATGGGGGGGGGGGGATTGGAATAGACATTGAGAAATCACCTAGTCTCTATACTTAAAAGTAATACCTAAACCAAAACTGCTTGTGAAAGATGTTTGCTTAACCATACTTTTAAAAATAGCCAGTAATTGGATACTCTGGAATATCACTGCCTATCTATTTCAGTACTTCAGTCTCCTACCTTTAGTTTTTCCCATGTCCAACAACTTCCCTTTGCTGTAGTCTACTTGTTCAAACCACAATGAATGTGGACAAAAAATGATTCCCTTCCTCTTTGCCAATTATTTATGTCTGTACTAGTAAAATAAACACAGCCAGAACACAAGCCTGGATGGTGGACCCCGATTACTTAGAATACCTTATTAAAGCCTTAATAGTAATAATAATGCCTTAATGCTTAAGAGTGGGCCCTAACATAATTTTGGCACTCTCCTAAGCAATGCCCAAACACAGTTTGAGACTTACTATATAGTTACATATATGTTGTCATGAAGCTTCTAAAAGAGATTAAAGGCCAGGTAATGTCTCCAGGCCAAAGAATAAGTGCTAATATTGTTTATGTGCTTGTTGGTTTTGTTTTTAACTTTAAATAGTTAATAACTGTTATCAACTCCACTTTTTTTTTAGTCTAAGTGATATCAGCTTATTCAGATCTGATCATTCTCACTGGAACCATCCTACTGAACCATATCATTTTCAGCTGATGTTTCCAAACTAGTCCCTGAAGTGAAATTCCCAAAGTGCAATACTTAGCTGTGCCATCACCAATGCTGATTGAAGTTAAACATGATAATTTTCTTTGTATTACAGATAGTATTGCTATTTATACATTCCAGATTGCTTCATACAGATCTCTAAGTACAGTCAGATGAAGATAATGAGCTCTAATTGATTTTGTAAATCTCTAACATATTTAATACTTTTTAACATGTTATGCCAGAATTTACAGCATGACAACCCTTTGCATTTCTGCTGAAACTGATTACATTAGCAGTGATACCCCAAGCAGACCTTTCTATGAAAATATCATTAAAAAATTTGGTCTTTCCAGTACAAGGTTTGATAGCATCAATTGGTTGTCATGAGTGTATTGTCCTGGAGAAACTTCTGCTACTTCTACTAGTTTTTTACCTGATCTCTCCATCACTGAGTGCTTTTAGTCTATCCACTTTCAAAAGCACTTATATGTATTTTAAAATTAAATGTTAGACTGTTAAGTCAATAGGAGCGAACCATGTCTCATAAGCCAATCTCTTTGAAAAGAATCCCTAGGAAAGCAAATCAATAATATTAAAACGATGAAGATAACTAAACTGTTATTGTTACTAACCAATTTCCTGTCAATTATCTTGTGCTGGTGTGGCCTCTCTTGCCCGAGCTAATTGACCTTGGCATGCTGCTTGTTTCTTTCCTGCTATTTCAGCTGTATAGCTTCTCTTCTGACAGTGATACAGTGACACAAGAAGCCAGGCTTTACCATTGCCTCTTGCCTTCTGACACAGACTGGTATGCAATAAATCCCCTGGGGTGGTCCACAGCAGAACTGCAAGGAGAGCAGTGCTGGACTGCGACCAGTTGATTGAACGGATGTTTGCTCAGAGCAGCAGACCTTCATTACTCTGACGTAGTAATGAAAGAAGTTTGCTAATTTGCAATCTAGCTAGTGCTGACTGATAAAGGGATGTGTACAGTAGTCTCAGTCTTATCGCTTTTGCCAGGTTTACACTGGTGTAGCAGCACTGAATTTAGACAAGCAGTTCCTGATTTACTTCAGGGAAAGGGCAGAATCAGGTCTGATTTTGCATCATAATCCATACAAATAACAGGCCTCCCTTGGAAATATCTTATATCTTAGGTATATTTAAGAAAACTTCAATTTCTGTATGTATATTTATAGCCTATCTCCATTTTGTGTGAATATTTTGGATCTTCCTGGTACCTTTCATTATAAAATATTTCTAAGCTAAATCCAGGACAGATAAATTATGACTCTGGCTTCTTTTAGTAGGGTAGCCTGCCTAAATCACTGCCACATTCTTCCCATAGTAGTCGTTTAAAATTAATAGCACATGCAGAGGAAAAACTAAACCCTTTGACGTCACTCTTGAAATGAGGAAACATAAACAGAAAAGGCTTCACTCCAGCGAGCTGACAGTGCCGAAGCGGATTGGTCTGCTTTCCCTTGCCTGTGGCAGTTGACAGCACCTCCCAGCCGTGCACGGCCTTCTGCTTGCTAACACAGCCAGTCTGACTGCAGCAAGCTCAGCTCTATCCCAGCCCTTACACTGGCAGAAAAGTGCACTCTCTTTCTGATTCTTTTTGCTTCTTAAGGTGGTTTTATTGGCTGGGTTGGGGGACTTGGGGAGGTTTTCCTTTCCTTTTATTTTTCCTTTTTTTTTTTTTTTTGGTTGCTGTTGTTACTTACTTGTATTCCTAATCCTGGATGCAGTTACTGGATTCTGCAGTACAAGTCTTCATGAACAAGCTGCACCGCTTAGAGATTTCACGGCATTCAAAGGTCACAGAACTGCCACTATGGTTAAATGTCTTGTTTAATGGTTGAGGTATGTACAGCAAATCTAAAAGAGTCAGCATGATGATTTCTGAAGGGGAACTAAAACTGTGAGGGGGAGAGGGAAAGAATACTATTATTTATTGGAAAAGATTTTTACTGATGATTGTTACTACAGCAACAGGATTTTGAATTTCCTCCCTTTTTCTCTTTATTCAAACTAGATGAGAATTTTAACTTATGTTGGTTTAACTGTTTGATGGCAAAAAGAGATTGCAGAGAGAATCTGTTATTGTAGTCCTTTCTGATCCGCTGAGGAAAGTGTGATTGTTTTCTCTATGTGTTTTCTGACTGCTCTATGGAAGGAGAGGATACCTGCGACTTGGTTGGCTTAGATGAAGGCAGAAGATAGCAGAAACTTATTCATATCCTGAGGGTGCTGTGAGTTCATCTGAGAGTTAGAGCAGAGAGAGAGAAGGAGTTTGAAATAAACAGATCAAGCAGGAAAGAAAGTCAGTCTCATATTTAGGAGTACATGTACCACATCATTTTTTTTCCTACATGCTTACGCTGCTTTACTTGGTTTGGATTCTGAAGTTTAAAATTAAGAAGCTTGAGCTTTGACTTATGAGCAGATCCTCAATGTGAGGGAGGGAGCTGCTCAGCTTATATTAACACAAGTTGTCAAATATCTTTTGCTACTTAACCAGAGAAAAGTGGAAATTAATTGGAAGTTGAAGTAATGAAGCCTGACGTCTGTTTAACAGCATATAAGTTCAATTCATATTTGAGCTACTGATCTGCCTTGAATGAGTATTGCAGCAGCACAGTGGACAGTGTGTGCTGCAGGAAGCGAAAGCAACTGCTAGCATAAAACTAACATTGTTTTCAGGAGTGTGATTCTAACATACAAGAGGAGGAGCCACTTGTCAGAGCTCGTGTGTGTGTGTGTGTGTGTGTGTGTGAATGATCTTAAAAACAATTTCAGACAACATAGCCAATGTCCATGATTAATTAGATTAAAATACAAGGTTTCTCAGTGACTAGCAATCTTCGTATTTTCCCAGTTTTTGAAATGAGACAGCTCTGTTTTAGATGCTACTGTAGATATAAACTGTCTACGATGTGAAAATCTTTTAGTTTAACTTTAAAATTTATACCTGATAAAACTATTCATATAACAAAGAACAGAAAATAAATACATCTACCTCATGCAAGGCACCTCAAAGGGTTACAAAAATTAGGCATACTAGGCTCAAACATGCTAGCTTAAGGACTGCAAAAATATTAGCTCTGAAATGCAGAGGATGTGATATGTGCTGTGAATGGACAATTGCTATTCTGCAGTGCCTAGTGGGAAAACAAGGACTTTGTGTATTGCAAATGCATAACTGCAGCTCCTCCATTTCCTTTGCTGTATCTTCACTGATGGCTGCAGAAACAAAGAAGCTTGTCACAGATAAACTCTTTAGTGCCACATCTGTTTTGAGGTACTTAAAGACAATTTTTTTTCATGTCACCCAACAACCCTAAGTCAAGCTTTGTTAGTTGAGCTATTATTCTGTAATCCCTGTGCCATTCTGTCCTCTGCAGCCCTCCCCAAATCTCATGTGAAATGCCAGCTGTTTTTAAAAACTAAAGCTTTGCTTCTCTAGTTCCAAGTTTAGAAAGGTTAATACAGTATTTGTTCAATGATTAATTAGTAAATTTGATCAAAGGAAACCCTGAATCTAGAGGGACTGTCTTCTGTTCTGCAAGGAACAACCTTATAGCTACATGAAGATATCCAAGTTTCCAAATAACAGTCTGTAAGACATTGATTTACTCTCACTTCCTAGAATTAAATCATTTACCTTTTTGATAAACAAAATCTTCTTCTGAGAGAAGCTTAGCTTTTGTACCTCTGAAATCTGTATTTAGTAACAACAATTACTAGTGATACAAATAGTAAATATGCCAACTGGACTGAGGAAATGACACTGTTTTTCTACTTTACTAATGAAAGTTTCTCTGCAGTGCTTTCTCTGAACATTCTCCGTTCAACATCAAGAACAAAATACAATTTAAGTTTGGCCTTTCTGTAGCGGATAAGAATCTTAGTATCATTTGGAGTCATATTGTGTCAAAAAGAGTTTGTATTACAAAAGTTTCATGCAATATAAATGGCTGCTATTTCTCAGGTTATTTCTGTAGGGTGGACAAGAGTTGTCACCAGTGAAGTTCTAGTGATTCTAGGAGAGTAATGCATATTCTATCGAGTCTAAGTCAGTGTACTGCAGATCACTTTTAAACTGTGCAATCTTTAATTCTGTAACCTAGTATATAAATATACCATATAGCAACAGCTGTTTTCTCCCTTACCTCCCCATTTAAATGCTTTCCCTTCTGAAATCCAGCTCTCAGCTTGCCCTTACCAGACCTCTAGGTAGGTCTTTGAAGCAGACTGATTTTCCAGTGTCTTCGTTACAATTATCAAGTATAACTGAGACATTCAGTCATACAATGACTGAAAATTCTTCACCCAATGGTTCTTCTACCAATAGTTGAAGCATATTTTAATGAGAAGCCATCTGAAAATTGACATATATATGGTTTTCTTGTAATTTTTCAGTCTCATAGGGAAAAAAAAATAAAATCTCTTGTACTGGTATTTTCCTTGTCCGAAGGAGAGCTGTCTGAAGCAGAAATGTCAGCTACTAACCAAGTCATTGGTAACAAAAGACTAAGGCCTGATGCCTCTTCATTTCATCATATGAAGTGTTTAAAAACTAATCTGTCATTTAAAACCTAATCTGTCATTTAATCTCATAAATATATGGCCAAAAGCTCTAGATGCAGTTTGTCTTGCAGAAAAGCAGGTAATTTGGAGCAGCCAGAGAGACTTCCCATGTAAATGAGCATTTTAGCAACTCGCTATTGTTCATTTTTTTTCCATTTTAGTGCTTGAAATTTTACAGCTCACCATGTGTTTGTCACAGGGTGAAAGTGAAAGGGACAGCTGGGGTCTTACCAGCTGCCAGAACAAAATTAAGTGTTTTGTAATGAAATGATGGCTCAGTATTCCTCCTCCCACAACCATATTGGGTGGAAGATGGGTCTCTCTGTGTTAGAATTACAGTATTCATTTTTCTTGTTCCTTGGCCAGAAAACAAGCATACCCCTGCAGGAACATCAGTTTTTACACTTTCAGTCAAATGTTGGCTTTACATTCAGTGTGAAAACGGCACTTTCCAGCCATACGCTTCAGGATGTGGAACTGATGTTATTTAGAGTTTATGCCCTGGGGTCACTGGGACACACAGACATGCAGCCTCTGTATCCATAAGCAATTCAATAGTTCTGATGCTTTTTCTTTCTCTGACCAATATGAGGTGTAGCTATCTAGGCAATGATCGCTGTAAAGCCAGGCCCTTATAGGCACTCAGAAAAGTGGGGCTGGTAAACTTATCCTTTGGTTCAGTAAATGAGTGGAAAAGCAAAAAATCTGTCTTCTGATAGTTGCAAGTATTTGACAAGTCTGAAGTCTTAACTTTGTGTAAATACTAAGGAGGTAGGTTGTATTTGTTCTATTTAAGTAAATTTATTGAATTTATTAATGTATCTGAAAGATAATTTAGCAAAAGAATTCTTTTGACATACTGAAAATTGTTTAGAACATTTTAAAATTGTATTTTTACTACTATACCTACTGCAGCAGCATCCCAATAAAATTGCATTAAAAACAGTATTTAATCCTTTGAAATTTTCGGTTCTGTTTTCCTGTAGCAGACTATGTCGGATTCAGAAGGTACACTGCTAGAGTACACAATGCTCAGACCTGGGCTTATTATTATCTGTTTTAAGGCCACCAGTTTTAAAATAGAAAATTAAGAAATCAGAGCCAGATCAGATAGAAGAGAGGGCAGTTCCATAAGCCAAACTTCAACAGCAAATTTCTAAGTGAAAAATTTAGTGCAGGGACAATTCACAAAAAGCAAAGATTAAATGATTTAAGTACTTCTCTTGCACATATTTAATAGTGTGGCATGTGCAGTCCAATGATGCTGTGATTTCAACGCACATTTTTCATTTGTTCTGTTCATAGAAATTGAAAATTCTATAGCTATTACGTAAACAGTGTTGAACTATAGAAATTAAACTAATGAAAGGGCCCAACTGAGTTATTTTCTTATTCCGTTCTTACTCCCAGTGGGAGTTGTGAGTGAGGATGGATGAGAACTGAGTTTAGCTACTTATTTAAGCCGCATAGTCTCATGGTGGTATATGATATGCTTCTGCTAGCTTGCTATCCAGCCAAATAAGACATCCAGGTTGCCTGGATGGATAAACATAGCTGATGATCTCTCCCTCTTAGTAGGTGGGGGTTGAGCAGTTAGGATTCTCTCAGTCACATAGAGAGACAAATTTGTTATAGTTTAGGTAAAGAAGACTTGCATGCAGACACAAACAGCAACATTTATTTTTCTTTGGGTATGTTTTATTAGAAATAGGAAACAAATATTTAGCAGAAGATAGTTGCAGAGAGATTTTTTTCTGTAGCTGGTAGGTTTATACTAGTTACCCACAAAAATTCCTGGTATGAGAAAACTCACCAACTAATCTCTCACTGCAGCGTGTGTTAATGCCAGCAGTGTAAGGTTTTTAAAAGAACAGCACAGAATCTCCCCTCAAACTAAGTTTAGCTAATTGTCATGGAGGCATAAACACACTTGTGGGGCAACTGTTGTCAGGACCTGTATATCATTCTCTATGTGGTCGTTCAGAGCAAAGTTGATGATACTAACCCATCTGGATGTAGCAAAGAGGTTTTGGAAAGGACAAACACTACCTTTCCAAGAATAAAGTGGGAGGTAGGCATGTTTTGACTGAATACACAGCAACTAAGAGATGGCTCAGAGAAATGCACATCTGTAAAAGTGAAATTAAGAAACCTCATGTTTAACTAGAGAACTGAAGGATGATATTGAGCTACCATGTAATTGCTTATGCTGTTTTTGGAAATTAACCATTATTCCTTCAGAAAGAAAGGGTCTATACACTCATGTTCTTATT